ATGAAGCACTGTTTCAGAGAAAGAAAGTGAGACATAAAATGGGCAGTTCCTGAAGAACACGAAAATCTCTGAAAAAATGTACATTTCAGGCCACCCCTTTCTCCAGTGGCATGTGGACACAGCAAGCAAAGGCATCGCTGTAGCATGGCTCGGTGCACCATGGCCAGCTTGAATCTAGCCAGCACAGGTAACAGCAGCGTAGCCATGGCAGCAGGGGCTAGCAACCAGAGTACATCCGGAGGGTCCCCAGTGGGTTTTTCCTCTGGTTGCTACCCAGTCCTACCATGTCCTCAGAGCTATTATTAGCGGCACTAGTTAAACAAATGGGCCTGCCTACCCAGACGGTGTTCCTGCGGCACGTTGCTATAACAAGACCCGTGTTTACTGGTTACACGTGCTCTGGACTCTCACTCCAATTCAGAAGCCATTTTGCAGCACCGTGGCCTCGGCGCTCCAGCCTTGGGCGCCCCTCGGCCCAGCCCAAGATGGACACCAAGAGTGGCTCTTTCCCAGAGGCAGTGAGGCAGGCATCGCCATGGAGACAGGTTCTCTCATCCTTGCCCATACGCAGAGATTCCTACATTTGAAGGCCAGATGGGACCACTATGAGCCACTCTGCCTTAGGGATGTAAACAGGCAACCGGTTAACTGGATACCCATTAAGCATCACTCTTACCAGGTGATGTTTACCAGTAACCAGTTAACTGGTGCCCAGTCCAGCTGGAGCAGCTCCCCCACTCATGGCGTTCTACAGGGCCAGGGACTTCTCAGGTCTGGGGGCCAGGGGCCAGCAGCTGGCAGCCCCACAGTTAACCATGTAACTGATAGAATTTTTAATCGGATACACGGTTAATATTTTTATTCACTTTTTACATCCCTACTTTTTGTAGCCCCAGCCACAGAGCCTCCCCAGTGCCGTTAGAAAGACAATCTTAAAGTTTGGAGATGCTCCTACATCTGGAGGTTAGGTTGTTCCAATAGGGTACGTCTACACTTGCTCCCTAGTTTGAACTAGGAATGCAAATGTAGGTGACCAAAATTGCTAATGAAGCGGGGATTTAAATATCCCGTGATTCATTAACATGATCTCGCTGGTACGTTTCTCTGAATGCCAGCTGTTTCGAAAGTGAAAGTGCGCGCTGGGATGCGTCAGTTCGAACCAAACCCTTTGGTTCAAATTAACGTTACTCCTCATTTTTTGAGGAGTAATGTTAATTCGAATCAAGGGGTTTGGTTCGAACTAACACGTCCCGGCGCACGCTTCCTGGTTCGAATCAGCTGTTGAGCGGAGTAACGCACCAGCAAGATCATGCTAATGAAGCACGGGATATTTAAATCCCCGCTTCATTAGCAATTTTGGTCACCTACATTTGCATTCCTAGTTCAAACTAGGGAGCAAGTTAATTTACCCTCAGTATGAAAGATAAACAAACATTGCATCTTATTTTAGCCTGAATTTGTCCTAGTATCCGAAATCTCTTCCCATGTAGGTACTTGTCGATCACGATCAACTCACGATCTTCTCTTGGGCAAACTAAAAAGGTGCCGCTTGGGAAGCCTCCTACTGTAGAGCAGGATTTCCGGACTTTCAGCATTGTTGTAGATCTTTCCAATATTTCAGTATCCTTTGTGAAGTGTGAACGCTGCAACTTACTGGACATTGTCTCCAGAAATAGCCCCACTAATGCCATATTCAGAGGCAATACCAGCAGCTCCTCTTCCAGCTTCATGCTCCCCTGCTTACACACCCCAGGATGGTGTTGGTCTTCTTAGATAAAGCATCGCACAGGGAGCGCATGTGCCGTTCATTAACTCCCATTACCCTGAAATCTTTGAAGGATGCTGTTTCCCACCCTGAGTTACCAATTTATTTGTTCCTAGATGCATGACCTGGAATTTGGCTACATTCAAACATGGGTTGTTCAAAAGGAGTCCACCCTACCAAGCGATCCTGGTCGAGCTGTGTAGCTGCCCTATCCCCATCCTTGGACGCTTTACGAATGGTCCTTAACAAAGATGCTAACTACCTTACCCATTACAAAAGTAGCTTCCCCAATTATCACCCCTAATATCATTACCTCACAGACACTAACCTCCCCCCAAACCCCTCCTCTGCTCTAAAATCTGATTTGTCAGTTTTACATGTGTTCACTTTTTTGATTGTATCCCTTTGGTATATATGGTCATGCTAACTTTCTTCCACAATCTAAGGAAGTGGGTCTGGCCCACGAAAGCTCATCTCCTAATAAACCATCTTGTTAGTCTTTAAAATGCTGCATAGTCCTGTCTTTTGTTTCAGCAAGACCAGACTAACACGGCTACATCTCTATTACTATCCCCATCCTTGTTCATCTCTCCCCACCAATGTGTGTGTCATCTGCACATTTTACCAGTGGTGAATTTCTATTTTCTTCTAGCTCACGGATGAAGATTTTGAAGACAGGCTCGCCAATGGAGGGGGGAGGAGGCAAAAGAGGTAACTGCCCCAGGGCCTGTTGATTCAGAGGAGTCCTGTGCTCTGGCCACCACTGCCACAGCAGCAGCACCTGGAGCTCCAAACCCTTTAAATCTCCGCCGGAGTGCCTCACCGTGCACTCCGGAAGGCTCTTAGGGCTGCAGGGGAGGCAGGGGCGCAGCACGGTGTGCTCCAGGCAGCGCTGAGGTGGGGCACCGTGGTCTGGGCAGTGCTGTCAGCCCTGCCCGTCACCTGAGGTCCTACCCCTTCCGGAAGCAGAGAGCTAGGCCCCCCCACACCTTGCCCAGGGGCCCGGCGTGGCTGTCCGCTCTTCTGATTGACTAGCACTGGGACAAGAACACTTCCCTGCTGGTCCCACTAGAAACATCCCATAGGATGAACTTCCCGATTTGCAGTTACTTGAGAACGGCACGCGTGGCTAAGTGCCTGACAGAAGCCTGAGTATATTATGTCAACATAGAGGTACCCTTAGGTGGGCGCCTGTACCCTGCCCTATGCCCGAGTGCTGTCCCCCACCCCTTATGCAACAAAAATCTGCTCCCACCCCCTGCCCGGCTTTCCAGCCACACAAGCGAGTACCTGACGGGCTCACAAGGGGTGCGGGAATGCGGTTGGTTTTGGCTAAGGAGAGATGAGGAGACTGCAGATTTAAGGGACTGCTAAGCGACCGCCTCATTAGTAGCATCTGCTGAAGCTGCCTGACAGATCAGCATCTCCATCCCAGCATCACCTGCTTTTTAGTTATCCATTCATGTTTGCATCCCATCGGGATGGGCCTGTAACTGCCCGTAATTCCACCCCTCGGGCGCCGACAGCCTCGGGGGAAGGGAGGGGGGGGGGGGGGAGCAGCCAATCCGGAGCGTCACACCAGTCCCTCCTGCCCTCCCAGCCCTTAGAGCCGTCGGGAGCATACGGTGCGGCACTCCGGCAGCGATGTAAAGGGCTCTTGCCACCAGCACTGTCACGTTAGCATCCGGGAGCCCCCAGCCCTTTCGAATCGCTGGGCCCTGAGCCAACGGCCTCTCCCCCACCCCCGTCATCATGTCTGCTCCCTCTGTACAATTCACTCCACGGGTCCGTGACAGTAGCTAGAGGCACATCCTGCGCCTGTCTCCACTTGAAGAGCCTGCTTTGTCCTGCGGGAAAAGGAAGGACGAAAATCCCATTTCTGGCCTGAAAACAGAATCTCCTTTCAACGGATCCTTTCCTCTCTGGCACTGGGAAGACTGGGGATGGAATGAGGCCCCCGGTTCCACGGAGCCGCAGAAATCCCGCTGGAACCCAGAGACAAGGGGGAAGCGGGCTGTATTCCCCAGCTGGTCGGCCGGCTGATCCTGCCCACCTGCTCTGCGCTGCTGCCACCGAGATCCCACCCGATCCGTCAGTCCTGCAGCCTGATCCCAACGCCCAAGGGGAAGCATTGTCTGTGACCGGAAGGGGTGGGGCTGGGGACTAGTCACCCCCCCCAGACTTGTCCAGGGCTGGAGGCTCTGGATTAAAAAACACAGCAAAGGGCTACCGGCCCCGCCACTCCTGCATTGCCCGGCAGCTGCCTGGGTTGCTGTGGCTATTTAAGGACTTGCAGCTCCAGCTTCTACCGGGGTAGTGCCACGACCGAGAGCTGGGATCCATTTAAATAGGATCCTGCTGCCTGAGCCACCTGCTGGAAATTCAGTGGCACGAGCAGCAGGGTATAGCAAGACGCCAGATGAAGCATTAGGCAGGCCGGCTCCGGCTCCCAGGCCGCATCTTGCCCAGCCCTGGCTCACACCCTAGAAACAGGGCCCCGCTGTGAGTTAAGTGGGGCGTGGAGGTGAATTCCACCCATGGCGCCTTTTGCAGTTTAGTGCCAAGCCTCACGAGCCAACAGGCGATGCGCGGCGCCCGGGCCAACAGGCGATGCGCGGCGCCCAGCCCACCAGGTCTGCGGGTCGGGGAGATCGAAATGGGGAAAGCAGCAGAGAGGTTTTGGATTTCGCGGGAGAGCAGGGGGAACAAGACACCTTTTCTTTGTGTCTCTGCTCAGTCAGTCCTCCCGGCCCTGTGATGAATTCGGGTTTCCTCGTTCCCCGCATCACAAACAGCACTGACACCTGCTGGTGAGGCCAAAAGGTTCCCACCGAATCCCAGTCTGCTAGAGAGTCACCTCCGTGGTGAACGCTGCGTTACTCACCTGGAAAGGTTTGAGGAAGGTTTCCTCCATGGCCAGCCGGCCGTATTCCGTAAAGAGCTAAGACAAGGAGCAAAACAAGAGAACGTTTAGTTTTGGAGGCTGTTGTGCAGTGCAGCGGGGCTGGCTTCATGCAAAAAAGGTTCCCACCGAATCCCAGTCTGCTAGAGAGTCACCTCCGTGGTGAACGCTGCGTTACTCACCTGGAAAGGTTTGAGGAAGGTTTCCTCCATGGCCAGCCGGCCGTATTCCGTAAAGAGCTAAGACAAGGAGCAAAACAAGAGAACGTTTAGTTTTGGAGGCTGTTGTGCAGTGCAGCGGGGCTGGCTTCATGCAAAGGCTACGCCCCATCAATACCCCCCCACCCCCCCAGTTGTGCTGCTATTTTTGGGTTTTGGCCCCAATCAGTTCCTTTTTTGCTCAACACATTTTGCTGCTATGGGGGGGTAGGGGGTGAATGTTTCTCAAAAATCAAAAAGGGGGCGTGATGCCGAAGTTTGGAAACCACTGGGCTAGCGTCACTATAGTGAGCAGGGGTGGCCGCTCACTGGCCCCAAGGGTGAAGCACCCCTCTCCGAGCACCAGGGCTGTGCCAGGTCCTGCCCCTTTAACTCCACGGAGGCCAAGGGTATAAAAGCCCAGCCCAGGAGCTCAGTTGGGGCCCAGCCACTGGCGGAAGCAGAGATCTGCCCTGAGCTCCCGAGCCAGGAGGGCCCTGAGGACCTGGCATAGTAGAGGAGTGGCCTGTGCCACCGGGCCCATGCTCCGAAGAGGAGACTGTCTTTACCCTACCCCAGGGTGCAGGCTACTAGGACCCCGAGAACCAACATACCAGGTGACAGTCTCCCCCTTCCCGCTCACGCCCTGGGAACCGTGTCTGTGTGGCAGTCCCACTCTGACCCAGGGCCTGGGCTGCACTGACTCTGGAACTTCATTTGCCTTACTGACTGCCCGGCCCTCAGGCCTGGGGGTTGAGAGGAGCCGCTGGACCGTTACTTATAGGTCTGAGCACTGGCCAGGGGCCCAGGACTAAGCCAGCCTGCTTTCAGTCACTAATTGGTTTCTAGTTTTGGTGCTAACAGTCCCGTTTACACTGCTTCAGCGACGGTCTCCTCGGCTGTGCATTTCCCTCTCACGGCGTAGAGGTGTTTTAATACCGGCTGTGCTCTATCTTGACACGCATGAACTCAGCACAGAAATCTTAGTTGCCTAATAAGTCGGGGCGGGGGAGTTAATGTATCAATGGACGGAGTCTTCTGCCAGTTTGTGTGCTGACATCTCCCCAGAGTTTTCCATGTTACGCTGAATTGTCATAAGCCCAGTGCCTTTGACCCGTTGGACATTGCTGGAAATGAGGTTAAGAAACGGGCATTTGCCCCCGGACAACCGAGTCCTGCAGCCAGGCTCCAGACTTACACCGACTAAAGACTGCGGGGTTAGCTCCTAACATCTCAAGCAGGCGTAGGGTTGGACTTTTTCAGCAGATCAGCTAAATTTGGAGGTTCTCCAACCTCTGGGCTGTTTCTTCTAAATGGAGGCAAAATTGGCTACCTCTCAAGTCCCCAAAAAGGGATCCAAATGCTAAAAACCCAACAGAAAAGTCATGTCACACCAGATACATAAAATGGGGGGGTTGGAGGAGGGGTATATTAAATAAATAAATAAAAACCACCCACAGCAGATATTTATCCTGAAAACTGGGCTGGCCACAACAATGCAGAAACCACAGCAACAAAAATGATTAGGGGTATGGAATGGCTGCCATGTGAGAAGAAATGAATAAGACGGGGACTTTTCAGCTTAGAAAAAAAAAGACTAAGGAGGGATATGAGAGGTCTATAAAATCTTGACTGATGTGGAGAAAGTAAACAAGGAAAAGTTATTTACTTGTTCCCATAACACAAGAGTTATGGAGTTTCACCAAATGAAATTAATAGGTAGCAGGTTTAAAACAAACAAAAGGAAGTTTTTCTTCATGCAGCACAGTCAATCTGTGGAACTCCTTGCTAGAAGATGTGGTGAAGACCAGGACTTTAACAGAGTTCAGAAAAGAGCTAGATAAATTCATGGAGGTGAGGTCCATCAATGGCTATTAGCCAGGATGGGTAGGAATGGTGTCTCTAGCCTTTGTTTGTCAGAGGCTAGAAATGGGTGACAGGAGAGGGATCGCTTGATGATTTCCTGTTCTGTTCACTCCCTCTGGGGTATCTGCCATTGGCCACTGTCAGCAGACAAGCTACCGGGCTGGAAGGACCCTTGGTCTGACCCAATGTGGCCGTTCTTACGTTCTTATCACGTGAAAAACTGGAGACGTTCCAGGGGGATTTTTGCTTTTCTTTCCTTTCACCCTCAATAAGAAAATCCAGGCTACTCAAAGATTTCCCCGGAGAACGGATGGGGTGGCCGTTCTGACCACATTCCACCCATTACATGCCCATGGACAACCAGGGCCATATGCCCAAAGTTTAACCAACCCAGCAGCATTTGGATGGGGAGGCCGTTACGACCACATTCCATCCATTACATGCCCATGGACACCCAGGGCCATATGCCCAAAGTTTAACCAACCCAGCAGCATTTGTGACACAAATAGGGATCCCACTTTCAGAAGTTATAAACCAGAATCCTTCTTCCTCTTTAAGCTTTTTTAATGACCAGAATCTGCCACCCAGTGCCGCGTGAGCAGTCCAATTAATCTTCCACTCATTAGGGGCTAGACTGTGGAGGCGGTAAGCTCCCACGCCCGGAGGAAGCCCCACTGTCTGCCCTAGAGCTACTCAGAGGAGCTTCTACGATCTGCTCCTACCATACTTTCCTGGATAATCTTTGTCTTCCTCGCAGCGCACTGACCTGACCAGTGCTAATTGCTTTCAGATCCAATGGAAGGGCAGCATAAAACCCTAAAGGCCTATTGCTAACAGTGAACTGATGAATATTTAAATAACAGACGTCCATAATTCCCTCAGACCAAGAGATTTGCACCCAACACAGCTGGTTGCTAGAATTGTACTTGGCGAGCTAGTAAGTCCCTGTGAGATGAGCAGGATTTTAGCTAGGTCTGGGAGGACTTGGGTGCGCTCCAGTGCCCCCTGAAACCAGGGCTGGTTTCACACCGCTCCCTCTGCTCTTTTGCAGTCTTGTTTTATCTTCTGGCTTTTCACTCCAGGCCGGAGCCCTCGCCCCGGTTTGCACTCCACACGCAGCGCCCGACAAGATGTCCAAAAGGGGTTAGGTCCAAAATCTCGGCCTCCAGGTTGACTCCAGCTCAGCAAGGCCTGTTCCCATGGAGACAGCGGGAGTTCTGCCATTGACTTCTATGCTAGACGGAGCCGGTTCACTGGCGATGGGCCTCAATAGCGCACAGGAACCTGGTCCCACCCTCTTTGTGACTCATTCACTGCAGAGCAACAGCTGCTCTTCCAGAGGAGAGCCCTCTGGCACGCTGCACTGAAATACCGCTAGTCCAGGGGAGCAGGCCAAAATGAGGAGGTTGTTTTAAAGAGCCCCACCAATGCAATCATGATCGATTAATCTCCCCCCGCCCCCCGTTTTCCGCCCTCCCCGAGGGCACCAGGAGGTTACCTGTAAGTGCTGGAGGTCATCTTCCTGGACGTTCTGCGACAAGTTGTACACCTGCGTTGAAAAGGAAACGTTGAGCGAGAGACTTAAAACGTGCTGCCCTTCCTGTCCAGCACAGGCAATGGCCTTTCGACGAGCGGCCTTACGTCTCCAAGCCAGCGTGGCGTTCTGTGTGTGGC